TAGAACAGAACATGATGTATAGAACAGAACATGGTTTGTAGAACAGAACATGCTGTATAGAACAGAACATGGTTTGTAGAACAGAACATGGTGTGTAGAACAGAACATGGTTTGTAGAACAGAACAAGATGTGTAGAACAAAACATGATGTGTAGAACAGAACATGGTTTGTAGAGCAGAACATGGTTTGTAGAACAGAACATGATGTGTAGAGCAGAACATGGTTTAGCACCTGTAGCTGCTTTAGGAGACACTTCCTCCTCAAAAGCAGTAACTAAAACAGCCGTGGTGACTTCAGTGGATGTTCTTATTTGAGCATCATCAGCTTCTTTAGAAATAACATTTTCACCTTCTGTGAAAGTAAACAATGAACAGGTTTTATTGTTACAAGAGAGTAAACCGGACATTTATTGCAACACGGACACACTGACCTTTCTGGATCTCCCAGTCTGCTCTCAGCCTGGCAGGGAATTTGTCCCACATGGGGGACTCTCCTCCAAATGCAGAAAGACACTTCATGTTTTGGACGTCACACGTTGTCCCCTCAGAGCAGCAGTGGAACTTATCATGGCAGCAGACGGCCTGCACAGACAGTGAAGTCACGTTAGGTGTCTCCTCACAACCTTGCAGGAGCGAGACGATGTGGGGACGTCCGGACAGGACATGCAAAGACATCATTTGACTGTTCACCCTATCATTATCTCACTCATGGTGTGTACTTATATTTACATGAAGCAGCTGATTAAAGATCAATCACTGTGTACCTTTGGGATGGGACAGCATCCCCACCGGCCTTCTGCAGTTTCACAGCAGGTTGCACCGTTTGGACACTCCGACACGCCGTCATTACACAAAACTGTAGTCACGTGTTCTTTCACAACCACACGAGAGAGATTATTTTTAACTGAACTGATAAAACAGTGGTATGTGAGAATAAAATATAAATACTGTCAAAGAAATTCAACCTTTTATGATGCAGGAGCGGCTGTCAATGCTGCACTGGTGTCCCTCAGGGCAGCAGTGTTTGCCATCAGAGCAGGAGACTCCCTGTTGGAGGTCAAGAAATAATTAAAAAAACACATCATAATTTAACTTTAAAAGGATATTTTCTAAACAAAACCCTTCAAAAAATGTGGTAGCTGTAAAAACAAAAGACTTGTGGGCTATTTACAGCTAACGTCCAGCTGTTTTTTGAGTGCAGCTTTTTCATAATTTTTCCCAAAGAGGATCAATTTCCTTGGTCAGGGTCATGGGGAGCTGGTGCTTGTCTTCAGGGGTTGTTGAGTGAGACGTAGGGTATGTCCTGGACAGGACAACAGTCCATCACATGGACAAATGAGACAAACCCAAGAACAAAATTGTCACCAATCAGCCTAACATGCATGTTTTTGGCTTATATGGGAGGAAACCCACGCGTGCACAGGGGGAGCATCTAAAAGTAACAAGTTGATTTATTCATCAGATAACGTGCACAAGAAGATTAATTTCGCAAGATGGCTACTTTCAACCTTTTGTCACTCCTAAATGTGAGTGAGCGTAGCTGCAATATTTGTCAAACAATATTTGTAAAAAACAAAAAAAAGAAAAATTTTGATTCTTACTTTATGATTTGCATCATTTTACATGTTCTCGTGACGTTACGATAAATATTTTGAAACTATAAAGCAAAAATGAAAAAGGAATTTTGACGTTTAGTTGAAACATGTAAATTATTTATTTTCTGTTATTTTCATGCATTTTAAATGAGTCCTAAACATCTAGAAAAATTTGGATTGCACTTGGAAAGATCAGCTAAAAAAAAAAAAAAAAAACTCAAGAGAGACAATGCACATTGAAATATTTAAATGAAAAACTAGAAATAAAACTTTATATTCTGGATTTTGAACCCATTGGATCTATTAGAAAATTAGCTCATCATTAAATACATATTAATTTACCGTAAGTTTCAACTGGTGACTTAAATTTAAAAAGAGTATAAAAAAAATTAGCACTGAACATTTAATTTTTTTGGCATTCAGAAAATTAAAGCAACTAAAATATTTGGCACTGAAGACAAGTTTACTTTGTGCAGAAACAAACACTTAAAGTCTAAAATTAACTGTTTTTAATTAGGGATGCACAATATTGGATTTTTGGCCAATATCCGATATGCTGATATCTTAAAACTTAATTAGCCGATAACAAATATTACAAATATTTATTCCTTAGACCTACTTACAGAGACTACACAGCTTTCTGTGCTGTGGAATTAAAATACTACATTATTCTGCATGGTCTTTATCAGTTTGGCCTCATACCTAATGCAGATGCTGAAAAAGGGGATGAAAATGATGTAACACTTCAACTTGGATTATGTTTAATGTCAAATTTTGTCACTGGCTGGTTGTCCTACAAAAACAGTGACTTTTATATCGGTGAGTTATTCTGATGGAATGGCCGATGTCTGATATTTAACTTTAACGCCAATATCAGCCGATACCGATACCATGCCGATAATATTGTGCATCCCTAGTTTTAATAAATGTAAAGAACAAAAACAAAAGTCAGCAGCTCCAGATATCTTCTTCCTGAATTATCACTTTTAATCGTTCACAATAATTATTAAAAAGTTCTGGACCTTTTTCACGCTGCATGGGTTAATTACCTTTGCTAAGGGACAGCAGCCAAACCTCGTCAAAGCCTTCAGGCAGGAAAACTCAGCGGGGCACTGGGACTGATCAGGACAGACGTTATCGTCGTCCTCGCCCACGTAGGACTTGATCATTCTGAAGGACTGAAAGAGGAACACGGCTCAGAATATTTCATCTGTGCTCATGAAGGAAAACCATGGATCATACTTTAGAGACTGGAAGCTGATCAGCAGAGGTCCTGTCCCCCCACGGGATGGACACGGTGGCGTTCACGCAGCTGGACGCAGCTGCATCGCAGAGTGTCCATGCTGGACAGCAGTGGACATGGTCCTCACAGCATTCAGCCTGTGGAGACAGGAGGACGAACACTTTGACTACCAAAATTATACAGTCTTTTAACATTTGCATGGAGTAAACCTAGCGGCTTTATCTGGTTCATAAAGTGGTAAAACGTTATTCAGGATGAATAGTACTACAGTAGAATCATTTTAATTTAGTGTGCAAGACAAATATTGTCTTTAAAGTTCATGATATGGACATACGAAAGGAAAAGTAGACCTGCTAAAGATGAAATACTTTATGTTTGCTGAAAAGGTTGGATTAGGATTATTTTATATTAATATATTTTAGTATAAAAGCTTTGGAAATTATTAATTTGTTAATCTACCAAGGTTTTTAGTTTTTCTTAGTTCATATATTAGATGTTATTACTGTTTTTCTTTTACATTTTATACTTTTGTTGGCTGTAACTGGGACCCTGTGTAAACAATTTCGTTCCACCACATGTACCACATGTGGTGCGTATGACAAATAAAGAACCTTGAATCCTTAAGTCAGGTCCTCTGGATAGATTCTTCTTGTTCAAACGTTTCATCTTTATCCAAAAGACTTCTTCAGTCTGAGGAGCTGCAACAAACTCAGTCTTATAAATCGTTTTTTTGGATAAAAGACGAAACGTTTTAACAAGAAAAAAAACGTCCAGAGGACCTGACTTAACTTTGTTAGATTTATCTACCTGGATTATTGAGCATGAATCAGGATATTAATTTGTTCAGTTTGGATTATATTTGTTAGGCTCTATAACACACTGCTGACTGTCAGCACTGGGTTTGGATGTGTTGGATAGAGACTATACATCAGGAATTACAGTTCAGAACGAGTGAATACATTTAGGCAAGACAGAAATATTGATTTAAGTTCATTTAGACTTTGTATGACGGCGTGAAAACCAGCTTCAATAAAACGTATCTAGCAATCTGTATATCAGACATGTGATTTTGGGGGTTTCTCCAGGGGTTAAAATATGTCAAATTAAACAAATTGTAACAGAACATCGGAAAAACTTAAGAGGCATTTATCATTTATTTAAAATCACAGAAAAAGTACTGTTATGTACCTGAATAGTGTAATATTGAGATAAGCTTGGGTGCTGAAACTGAGCCAAGTGTTGTCCGTGTTTCTATTCACGCACAGTGTTTATTGTTGGTACAAATGATGACAAAAAAAATCAGACCGAATGAAACAACCATCACTGAACCAGATCAAAGTTTAGCTCCAGGAAACCAGAACAGTGCGTTCACAGCACAAGCTGCTAAATTCACCTTATTTGTGCTGAGTTGTTTATTTTAACCCTGAAACATTTACAGTTATACTGCAGCAATACTACTTAACATCATCTCCATCCCTGCTTCAGTGCACCTGTAAATATAAAGAGAATGCTCTGAGAAAATGTTTTAAGTCTGTTCGGTCTACCTGGTCAAACGGACAGCACTCGTAGCCGTTAGTTGGGCTGCTGCAGCAGGTTTGTCCCTCCTTACATCGTCCTGCATCCGGACACTCATCAGCACCAACCAGGACCAGAAGAGCCCCATAGATCACCGTCCAGCTCTGCATCTGCAGGAAGAATCACACAAAGACTGGCTAAAAAAAAAGGACATTATGCACAGTTGACCCCCTTTTCATTAGACATCAGGGATTGTTTTTCTTCTCAAAAAGCTGCTCAAACTCTTGGTTCTGAGGGAATACATATTTTGTAACCTTTCTTAGACTTGTTTTTTTTGTGTGTTAAAAATAAACCAAAGTAATAACAAATGCAATACTGTCTGAAAGAGACTCAGTGCTGTTTGTTCATTGGTACGGCCTTTTTGTGCTTTTTGTTCTTTTACTTTTCAAAGCATTACAAACACAAGATTGGGAAGATTAAACACATTCAGTTTTGTTTAACTTACAATTTAGGAAATGCCAAAAAGATATGAATACGTTACACAAAATAAAGAACAGGCAAACATTAATAAAACTAAAACAAAAAAGAAAAGTAGTTTGTGAATCATCAAGAATGCAATTTCAAATTCTTTTACTTTTCAAGCATTTTTCCATAGATTTGAATTCAAAAGAATTCCCTAATGCTCTTACCTTTATGAAAGTCAGAAAAGCTGTTGTGAGGAGGCAGAAGTTTCATCTGTGTCTTATAATTCCCTTAAATAAATCCAATCTTATCTTTCAGATCACGCCCACAGAGAGGAGGTGAAAAGTAGCTCCTAATTTCCATAACTATCATCTAGTCGCAAAACTGAAACTCTCGTTTTAATTAATTGTTGAATTAATTATTATGAATATTTTTAGACGTATCATTCTGAATAAATCCCATTTAAGATGTGTAGCCTTCGTGTAGTTTATTTTTGTTTACGAGGCAGCTGGCGCAGTGCAATTGCAAAGTCAGTCCACTAGAGGGCGCCAGAGATGCGACGGTAGCATCAGGGGGAGGAGCCAAGTGACGCAGCGCGCTGATCTCCAAACCATCTGTACAACCCGCTCTCCGTTTCTTCAACGCTGCTGGATTTAGTGCATATGTTTGCGGAGTCGGGGCAAAGGAGAAGCGAGCGTTCTGCGTGACCCAAAAACTGTTCGACTCCTAAAAGGTTTTGCATTCGGGCTGCACGCATGCGATGGATGGCCTGAATAATTTGAAGTGGCTTTTAACTGATATGGGTGAAGAAGACTCGTGTGTTTGTAAAAGAGGCTGGCAGCTAAAGTAGAGGTGCGTAATGGGAGCTCCTCGTCTTTAAAAAGAGGTTATTTAAGAAAAACAACAACAAGTTATTTAAGAAAAACAACAACAAGCTAGCTAAGTTACGCAGCTAACTAGCGTGTTAGCAGTTAATAAGATCACATTTGCAACAAGCCTCACTCAGGGCATTGGATAACTAATTCAATTTAATATTAAACTATATTCTTCCTGCTCACCTCTAGTATATTCATATACTGTACTAGATATTCTATATTCATTTAGTTAGCGAGCTAACGCTAAAAAAAGAACGAAGTGTACCATCGCTGGATTTCATCAATGTTTCGGACTGTGATGTTTTTTAGTGTCCAGTTGAAATTTAACTGTAATCTAATTTAACCCGAAGTTTGCTTTCTAACAAACGTATATCCTGTCAGCACGAGACTTGTTTGCGTGACAATCCTCCCTGCAGATTTCTGTAATCCACGCAACCTTCAACGTTTTTTTTTTGTTTTTTTTTTTAACTATCAGAAATGGAGAAACACGATGTTGCAGAGCAGTTTACTAAAATCCAGAGGTACGTAGTTAAAATCGTTAGACAAAATAAGACTTCAGAGACTTGACTGCTGGACAAGAAAGCGGAAACGACAACAAAAAAAGATGCATCGTGGTGGTTTAGGGCAACCATTTTGGCTTGTGGTCAGGAGGCGAGGCTTCATTGACTGCATGGTGAGATTGAAGACATGCATGTCAGAGATAAGCTATCAAAACGTTTCAAAGACCTTGTTTTAACAACTCCACCTAGCCTTGCTCTGCTCACTTTAAAGACAAACGTGCCAAGGCTTTACCACAGGGTCACGTCTTCCATCAATGTGGGCCTTTCCAGCTAATTACCTTGAGGTGACAGGAGCAGGTAACGCACACCTTTCAGTTCTGACACAACAAGACGCTGTTAGTGTTCGGTTGCGGATCTTTTTGGGACGCTGTCACTCCTGAGTTGTTAAACGTCACTGTGGGATTAAATTTCTTCAGCTTGCAGCTTGGTTCGACAGGATCGGAGGACGCCTGTGAAGTTCGGCGGCCATGATGATGTGTGTTTGTTTTTTATTTTTGTTCTGACAGGTGGGCAGGATGGGGGAGCGGACCGTTGGCGGCCCTGTGGCTGCGATCTCTCCAGTGCAGCAGATGCTGGCCTCTGGCACTGGAGCCCTCCTCACATCTCTTTTTGGTTAGATTATAGAAGCGATGTCTATAAAAAAAAAAAAAAAAAAAAAAGCTCACTCAAGTGGAGTTTTTTGTACAGTTTTGTTTGCACTTATTTTGTGTATTATGTTGTAATGATTGAAGCTGTGGATTTGTTTACAGTCACACCGTTGGACGTTGTGAAGATAAGGCTGCAGGCTCAGCAGACACCCTTCCACCAAGGTACAAAAACAAAAAAAGTATTTTTTTTAGTCCTTTGATATCGCTTTGCTCCTGAAACTAACCCTGCCACTCTTATCGGCTCAGTCATAACACCCTGCCTTCTTTCTGTCCCTTTCTTTGCTTCGTTTTATAGCTTTAGCCTGTGAACTCACTCCGAAAAGTGTCAGCCGCTCTTCAAGATGTGAGTATTGACCCGCTGCAGCAACAAATAAGGCAGATATTTTCTGTGTGGCCACGTGCTAGAATAACAACCAATATCTGCTTGACAAGCCAAAATAGCTTTTTTGCAAATAGAGTCGAATAAAAGTCTCTTTAGAAGCCAGTCCTAAATAAATATTTGCAGTAAATGGAAACAAGGACAGGCCTGATGTTATCTTCTGAGTGGCAGTTTGGTCAGCCTGTGGTATTAACAACTCTTCTGTGAAGGCTTGTATAATCCAGATTGCATGTTCACATTAAGCCGAGTTGCAGTTAATAAGTAAACTGCTAGCAGTGGATGGGTTTATACAGTCGGTGCATGCTTAGTTTGATTGCTGGTTCTTCTTTCCAGGGAAGTGCTTTTTGTATTGCAATGGACTGATGGACCACATCTATGTCTGTCGCAACGGATCCAGCTGTACCAGCTGGTACAAAACACCAACACATTTTAGTGGGACTCTTGTAAGTTACACCCCTTTTTTATTTATTGTTATTTTTGTGCATTTATTTTCCACAAATTGAGCCTTGTTTGTTTGTTTTTGTCACAGGATGCTTTTGTGAAAATCACCCGTCATGAAGGACTTCGGTCTTTGTGGAGTGGGCTGCCACCAACACTGTGAGTGACCTCTAGGAAATATTTACACAACGAGATAAATGAAGAGAGTTGTCGTTTTTATGTAGGCTGCAGCTCAGAGGAGGTTTTGGAAACTGGATGTGGCCCAGTAATCTTGTTCCTTTGAAATATTTTTGGCTAAATAAAGAAGATCCAAACTGATGGATGTGTCAGGTTTAAGAATCTATCAAATTCTTTACTCTTTCTTCTTTAGTCTTGAAAACTCCCAACCATTTTTTACGAGACCAAATCTAACGCCATCGCTGAACTCCCCGCAGCCGCAAAATTCAAAGTTACTCAAAAACAACATTTCATACCAAATCATGTAAATAATAAGGATAAGAGAGCGAGTCTGAGCAGCTATTCTTGATGTAGCAATCTTATTTCTTTATTTTATAGTTTTAAACGACCAAACATAAATGTTTACTATACTAAAATACTTCTTGCACAGAAAAATCCCAACACTTTTTTCATTTTTGTGTGTGTGTAGGGTTATGGCGGTGCCAGCCACAATTATCTACTTCACCTGCTACGACCAGCTGAGGGACTTCCTGTGGTTCGGTCTGGGTCTCCAGGGAAACCATATCCCTCTTCTCGCTGGAGGTCTTGCCAGATGTAAGTGCATGAAAAGCTCATGTGGGTATCTCAGCTCTTTTATGTTGGTGTGTTTCTTACATTTTGACATGCGGTTTGGTGTGTGTCTTGCAGTGGGAGCTGTGACGGTGATCAGCCCCCTGGAGCTGGTCAGGACCAAGATGCAGTCCAAAAAGCTGACTTACAGCGAGCTGCAGGTTTGTATTCGCTCTGCTGTGGCCCAGGGCGGTCTGCTGTCCCTGTGGAGGGGCTGGGGACCCACCGTCTTCAGAGACGTGCCCTTTTCAGGTGAGAAACGTGAATGAGCAGTTCACCGGTCTGCTACAGAGACAGATAAATGTTTCTTCACATCCTGTTGGTTACAGCGTTCGCCAATCGTGGAGCTAATATAATCTCGTATTGTTAAATATTCTGCTGAATATAGCAAAAATATAAAGTTAAAAACGCTTTTGAAATCACAGATATTGATGTTTTGACTGCAGTTCTGCTTTCAGGAGTTTTACAGTTAAAATAAGATGAAAATTATGAGACTTGTTTAAAAAAAATAAAACATAATAATCATTTATCATAAATTTGTTAATTGTTACAAGAGAACCAACCTTGTGTTGTGTGTTTTTGCAGCTTTGTACTGGTTTAACTATGAGCTGGTGAAGTCCAGGCTGTGTGAACGGTACCAAATGCCTCAGGCCAACTTTTCCGTCAGCTTTACTGCCGGAGCTGTCTCTGGAGCTGTAAGAACTAAAAAATAAATAAAAGCTGAACCTCGGTTATCACAGTTTAACATGCTTTTAGCTGTTTGTTTTCATTTTACCACACAGAAGTAACATTTAATGCAGCAGTTCCCAAACCTTTTAGCCTTTCCTGTGTTGAAGTTATGACATCAGCGGTTGTTTTTAGATTTAATTGGGTTTCTGCAGATTGTCTGAGAACGCCCACTTAATAATGTTCAATGACCCACAGTGGGCTCCCAACCCTTACTTTGGGAACCACTGGTTTTATGCATCCATTAATTGTAAGATGGCTGCTAACTGGCCTGACAAGACCACAGGAAAAAGTTGCATCAGATTTCAACACGTGAAATTTTAAGAATAGTTTTAGAAAACAATGATAATAAAATAGACATTTCTGCTCACTCAGACTTTATGAACATTTTAGAGGAAAAAATAGCTAATTGGTTAGCTTCTAGTAAAAGTCAACAAAAGGGCAACCTAATCGATCTGTTTTTATGACTTATTCATCACAAATAACCGATATTATGTAAGAATGACTTTTACAACATTCAGATATCTGATATCAGTCTTTGGGTAATGAGCCTGTTACAGGTATTTTAACCAGGACACAGTTCGACACACATTCAGGTGTTAGCGTCGCTTTAGCAATAAATCAAGATAGTTTTTACCTAATTAGTTATCCTTTAAGAAAAGATAAGCTCTGTGTGGTTGTAACTTGGCCGCTGTGGTTCCGGAAGTGACTTCCTGTTTGTCATGATCAGATTGCTGCTGTCCTCACGCTGCCGTTTGACGTCGTAAAAACTCGGAGGCAGATTCAGCTTGGAGAGATGGATACTCTGGGAGGTCTGTGTTTTACAAACTTTACACATGCATTTAGTTTAGCAAGGTTGAGTCGGGTCCTCTGGATGGATGCTTCTTTGTGGAAAGGATCTGACTCAACCTTGTTAGATTTATCCGCCTGGATTATTGAGCATGCATCAGGCGCATTTAGGTTGTGTAAAATTCTTGATTTTATGTGAAAAGCCTTTCCTAAGCAGTGTCTTTTATAGGTTACCTGAAGAAAAACATGTCCACTTGGTGCATAATGAAGGACATTTGGGCTGAGTTGGGCTACAGAGGCCTTTTTGCAGGTACGTTCCATCGTTTTTATGTTGCTAAAAATGTGTTTGGTTGCTGAAAAGTGAAAACATGTTTCTCTTTCCAGGTTTCATGCCCAGGGTGATCAAAGTAGCTCCAGCTTGTGCCGTTATGATAAGCAGCTACGAGTTTGGGAAGGCCTTCTTTCAACAGATGAACCTTGATCAGCAGCAGCTGGCAACCTGAAGGCTGTCGGGGGGAGGGTGGGGGGTGTCCCTGTGGTAAACATGCTGTTGGGATCGAGTCTCCTCAGATAAAAGCTTGAGGGACTGGACAGCCTGGTGTTATTTTTTTTATTTCATTTTATTTCTCAACACAAGATAAACTTGACACACTGACCATCTTGGCCATAATAAGGCATTTGATCTAGATCCTGAGAGAACATAGACTTTGTTTTTTTTTTTGTTTTTTTTTTTTAAATAGGTGAAAGTGAAGTAGTGGTTTAATGAATAAACTTTCACTGAATGTGTTGAGGAATGTGCCGCAGATTCAGTTCAAACGCAGCATCTTCGATGACGACGCTGAGACCACTTAGCCCAATCTGCATGACTCCCAAAGACTTCACCTGTACTGTAACACGAGTCAGCAGGAAATTCACTCACCGCTCCATAAAGTGCATGGTGCGTGCAGCCCTTTGCAGTACAGAGTCCAGATAAGCTGCTCCACCCCATTTGCTCTTCTGCATAATCTGTCCTTCAACAGTAAAGCATGGCAACTTTCCACAATTATCTGCTGTGTAGATGATTGATACGTTTTGTATGCTGGAAAAAAAATTGGCATTTTTATGTTTGCATCAAGAGCTGTGAAACTGCAAAGCATTCAGAGCAAAATGTTTAAGTGTTTGGATATATGCCTGTTTTTGTTATGTGCGTTCAATAAATGCCACACTTTACGACATGCAACATTTTGTTTGGTGATGGTATGCTTGATTCACAATGGCAAAACTGAAGCAAGTCGTACTGAATGTTACAGCATGTCTTAAAGCTTTGAGCATGTGTTGCTGTACGTCAAAATATTTCGGTCAAAAATAAGAATTTGTCAAAACTCCCAGGAAGTCCTTTGGGGAAACTCTTGAGTGGTTTTCAAAATGTTGCCTAGTGAAGCTTTCTGGTGAATAAACGCTTTAAAATATACAAAAAAAGAAAAACACTGGACCACAAACATTGTTTTTTGTTATTATTTTTTTTTATTATAAATGCATATTGAATTAAAATGTTACAACCCGACTCGTGCGTAAAAAGTGATTTATTTATAGCAGTGTCATTAAAATGTCCCTTTTTAAATAGTCACAAGGGCAAAAAAGTTTTGATATTGTACACAAGAACTGCTGAAAATGATGATTATAATCAAAAGACATGATTTTTTTTTTCATCACCGCTGCAAATGGTGTTACCATCTGCATTTATATAAAGGTATATTTGTAATTGCAAAAATTACCGTTTTAATCTCAAATGTGTTTATTGATTTACTTTAGTTGTGAGGATTTGAGCACCCCGATAGTCGCTAAATGCTTCGAAAAACTGGTCATGACACATCAAAACAACCATCAACGAGGACCCTCATCAGTATGCATACCGTGAGAACCGATCAACAGAGGAAGCCATCTCCTCTGTGGTCCACACTGCGCTCAACCACCTGGAGCAGAAAAAAACTTGCATCCGTATGCTCTTTGTGGACTTCACATCCGCCTTCAACACCATGATCCCCCAAACCCTGATGGACAAACTATCCACACTAGGACTAAGCCCCTCCATTTGCAACTGGGTACTAGACTTCTTAACAAACAGACCACAGTCAGTGAGGATCCACAACTTCTCCTCCTCCACCATAACCCTCAGCACTGGCTCTCCTCAGGGATGTGTGTTAAGCCCCCTCCTGTTTACTCTGCTCATGTATGATTGTGCAGCTACCCATCCAGGCTGTCACATTGTAAAGTTTGCAGATGATACAGCGGTGGTGGGATGCATCACAAACAATGATGAGTCCAGCTACAGGCAAGAGGTGGAACACCTGGAGAGCTGCTGCAAAGAGAATAACCTTCACATCAATGTGAAGAAGACAAAGGAGATGATTGTGGACTTCAGAAGGAACAAAAACATCTACACCCCCCTGAACATAAGAGGATCTGCGGTGGAAGTGGTCTCCAGCTACAAGTACTTGGGTGTACACATGAACAACAACCTCAGCTGGAGCAACAACACCACCAGCCTGATCAAGAAAGCTCATCAGAGACTCTACTTCCTCAGACGGCTGAGGCGAGCTGGTCTGGGAAGCTCGGTCCTCACCTCCTTCTACAGGTGTGCAGTGGAGAGCATCCTGTGCTCCAGCATCAACATGTGGCATGGAGGCTGCACAGCTGTAGAAAGAAAAGCTTTGCAGAGAGTGGTGAAGGCTGCACAGAAGACTGTCGGAGTCAGCCTCCCCACCATCACAGACATCTACACCTCCAGATGCAGGAAGAGGGCCACCTGCATCATGAAGGACCTCACTCACCCAGCACACACACTTTTTGCCCCACTCCCCTCAGGAAGGAGGTTAAGGAGCATTAAGTGTAGAACCACTAGACTGAGGAACAGCTTCTACCCTGAGGCTGTTAGACTCATGAATCTCTAACTAGAATAATCACTGTGAAAAACTACATCATGTTGCTGCTGATCTGTTTAAATGTTGATGTGTTCATGCGTGCTCATCCGCTCACACAGACTCATGTTCATGTTTGTGCTGATGTTCAATGTTTTTATGTTATGAGTGCTTAGTGTATATTTAGTTGATGTTTTTCTTAGTTCATATCTTAGATGTTATTATTGTTTTTCTTATACATTTTATTGTTGGATGTAACTGGGACCCTGTGTACATAATTTCGCTCCACCACATGTACCACATGAGGTGCGAATGACAATAATCTCTGACTCTGAAAAATAATTTGCGCTGTGAATTATTTACACTATAAATGTCGACAGCGACATCTAGTGGCAGAGTATTAAAAGGGCCACGGCCGAAATCTCGTAGGCGGGGCTTATCTGTATAGTCTCGCTGATTCGCGCGATACTTTGTTTTGTATAAAATAGCTGTTTGCGAAATTTTAGGCCTCTTTCATTCGGACGGGAGACAAAATGGTGAGTTGTTTCTTGTCATCGCACGACATCTCACAAGAATCCAAGAACCATCTGACACATCCGTTCTCTTTTTCTTTTCTAAAGCTATCGAAGCGTGTTTGTTTATGTTCCCAATTAGACAGTCACAAATATTTTTAAGCATTTTAGTTTGTAACTGTAGCTTTAGCGATGCATGTTTTAGCCTCACCGGTGACTCATGGTCCAAAATGGCTGCTTAAACTAGGCCGATACATACGTCTTTTTTAGACGTAATAATATAAGTACTAAGTGAATACATAAGTGTAGTTGCTGGATTAAAAGTAATATTTTAAATGATTGTATTGTAATCCTTAAGTTTTTGTCAGGAGCGTTTGACTTTGCAACTGCTCACTGAAATGAATGTTAAATTTCACAGATCGTTCCAGGTTTACTCGATAAACATAAAATATGAAGCATCTAACTGGTTCTTTCATCATTTCACAGTCCCACCGTAAGTTTTCGGCTCCTCGCCACGGATCTCTAGGCTTCCTGCCCCGGAAGAGATGCCGCCGTCACCGGGGAAAGGTCAAGAGCTTCCCCAAGGATGACCCCAGCAAGCCCGTCCACATGACCGCCTTCCTGGGCTACAAAGCCGGCATGACCCACATCGTCCGTGAGGTGGACAGACCCGGCTCAAGTAAGTACTGCAGAACTAACGTTAAAGACCTCTGCAACAGTAGGTTCTGGTCCTCAGAACTGTTTGTGCAACCTGTTCCTAATTTATCACAAGCAAAATTTGTATTTTCTATTTATGTATCAAAATAAAGTTCTCAAAATGTTCTGCTTGTGATGAGACTCTCGACGGGCGGACAGAATGGGTGTAAACCCCCCTGTTGAATGTCGAGTACTGAACGCAGTTTATACTAATCGTATAAATAAATTCAAGACTGTAAAGCTCGAACTAGATGAGCAGTTTTTTTTTTTTTTTTTTACCACTTATGCAGAGATGAACAAAAAGGAAGTAGTTGAGGCTGTGACCATCATTGAGACTCCTCCCATGATTGTGGTTGGAGTCGTGGGTTACGTCAACACCCCCCGTGGCCTGCGTACCCTCAAGACCGTCTTCTCTGAGCATATCAGTGACGAGTGCAAGCGTCGGTTCTACAAGAACTGGTGAGTCCGAACCCGAGTCGTCTTGAGCTGAAGCAGTTGTTAGTTGCCAGTGAAAATAAAGCAGAACTACATTTTCACTGTGTGAGTCTAACATTTCGGTGGCCCCTCTGTGGCAGCTCCGCTCAGGCGCCGTGTGCCCTGATGAGCTCCGGGCTCCTCTGGCCAGTGGAAAGTGCTGCTTAGAAACTGCCATGAGCCAAAACCTTTCTTGGCTGACACTGCCCCCTTATCCTTGAAGGGAGAGCTATCAGCTGTGCACTGTGTTCTTCCGCTGGCCCTTTGGGGTCATGAGGGACCTGTGCCAAAATTATGTTTACTGGTACTTCTCTCAGGTACAAGTCAAAGAAGAAGGCTTTCACCAAATACTGCAAGAAATGGCAGGATGACGAGGGCAAGAAGCAGCTGGAGAAAGACTTTGCTACCATGAAGAAATACTGTGAGGTCATCAGAGTCATCACCCACACACAGGTCAGTTGGACTCGAGTTAAAATTTACTATCCTGTTCTGTCAGTGACGAGACCACGGAACCTGCGTCAGGCATGGCGCCCGACACTTATGAGGATATCTTCCATGCTGCCTTCCTTCTGAGACCCTAAAGCTAAAGTCAAACTCCTTTTTTAATGTGGTGTCAGTTGTTCATTTTCTGTGCTTTCCTCACGTTTTGTGTACAGATGCGTCTGTTGCCTCTGAGGCAGAAGAAGGCTCACCTGATGGAGGTGCAGCTCAATGGTGGCACCATCCCTGACAAGGTGGACTGGGCTCGTGAGAAGCTTGAGCAAGCCATCCCTGTCAACTCTGTCTTCGGCCAGGACGAGATGATCGACGTCATCGGTGTTACAAAGGGTCACGGATACAAGGGTAAATCTGTGATCCTGCTTTGAGATAAAAACCTTATTTATTTATTTTTATTAAAACGTTTTTTATGTCTTTTCTCTTAGGTGTCACCAGCCGTTGGCACACAAAGAAGCTTCCTCGCAAAACTCATCGTGGTCTGCGTAAGGTGGCCTGTATCGGTGCCTGGCATCCGGCCCGTGTGGCGTTCTCCGTGGCCCGCGCTGGTCAGAAGGGTTACCACCATCGTACAGAAATCAACAAGAAGGTCTACAAGATTGGCCAGGGCTTCCACACCAAGGATGGCAAAGTGGTCAAGAATAACGCCGCCACCGAGTACGATCTGACAAACAAGAGCATCAACCCCCTGGTAAGAGACCTAAAAGTTGATTTAACTTCTGAAGTCCAGAACAGAAATGTTTAAATCGATTGTCCATAAATTACAGGGCGGGTTTGTCCACTATGGAGAGGTTAACAACGACTTTGTCATGGTGAAGGGCTGTGTTGTTGGAACCAAGAAGAGGGTGCTGACTCTGCGCAAGGTGAGGCACAAACCTGTTGTCGAAGCCAAATGTACTGTCGAAGTAATGAAAAGGGAAGAAAAACTCAAATTCTTGATATGTTCCTCCAGTCTCTGCTGGTGCAGAGTAGCCGCCGTGCTTTGGAGAAGATCGACCTCAAGTTCATCGACACCACCTCCAAGTTCGGTCATGGTCGCTTCCAGACCGTGGAGGAGAAGAAGGCCTTTATGGTGAGACTTGATTAAAAACTGTTCGAATTTATTCAGGAGAGCTTGAGATGAAACATTGTCTTTTTCCGTCAGTCAAGTCTTTACTGATCTAAACAGAAAGTACCAGGATGATGCAGTTATCTCAGTAACTAGTTTTGACTGTCTTGCAAGTTCCTGCTGTTTATTTAAATTTTGTTTATAAAGAACTAGGCCTGTCACAATAAACAAATCAATTATCAATCAATGATGAATGAAAATTACTTCATATTCATCAGCTTTATCGTTTCTTCGTGTCTCTTTCTACTGAAGACACTGGATGACAAAAGGCACCAATGTGCCTTCGTCTAAAAAAAATTGTTTTTCTCTGCAAAAAGAAACTGAACTCGTTTACTGATTTATTATTTTTTTATTTGAAGATTTGTGTGAAAAATGCTATGCTAAAGAGCTCAAACCACACCAAGCATATGCCATTTTTGAAAACTAGAGACAACCCATGTCGCGTCAAGGGGGCTACTTCCCTTTTTTCTTTAACACACTGCTCGCTCCCTCGCTATCCATCCTTCAGTTCAGTCTTATACTGCCATCTAGTTGTCAAAAGCTACTACATGCAATAATTACCAACATTTCTTCTTAAATTTGACAATGATTACAAATTATCAAATTTCAAACAATATTATCGTTTATCACAATTTCTTAGACAATTAATCGCCCAGCAAAATGTGTTATCGTGACAGGCCTATAATGAATTTTGTGGAAACTTAACAGCAATGCAGCCACAATTAACTTTGTAAAAATGCTCATGTTTTTATTTTACTATATGGAGCACTGTTCGTAACCTGGTTCATCTGTCCGTATGAACCATGAGTTCCATTCCAGTGCCACAGTGATCTCCAGTGAGGCAGGGGAGCAGTGCCTGTTTGTGCTCGACTCCCTGTTCACTCTCTGGAAACACCGGCTGCTCTGAGCCCGTCGCAGACTTGTTGAAGTATCGACGTACGGCTGATGGTTTCTCGTTTTGTTCACAGGGACCCCTCAAGAAGGACCGCCTCGCCAAAGAAGAGACTGTTTAATGTCGGAACTTGACTGTCGCCATCGCTACTGTTCTGCAGAGTTTAATAAAAAAAGAAAATCAAAGGAATAACTGTTTTTATTTTGTGGAAGAATGTGATTAAACTTTTAAGTAGAATTGGTTGCACTTGACATAATTTGGGCTGAGCTTCCAGTCTTGTGTGCAACTAAAAAGGTTGCCGTCAGCTGCGTAGAAAGCGGCCACCTATGCAGAACTGATGGACAAAGTTTAGCAACCATTGCATGTTTTATTTAAACGGGCTCTGTCCTTGAGCTGTGAAGTTTGCATTTGGCTGACAGCAGAGCTGCTGCAGTCACAAGATAATTAAGCTCCAGCATCATCTACTCAATCCACTTCCAGAACTAAAACCTCTACTTCAGCAGGTAGTGAAGACCCAGGGAGGCTCAACAGGCCAGTTAGGGTTCCTGTTAAATGCTCCGCTGAGACGTATGTGCACAATCAGCAATTTTTAGCAGAAATGTGGATTTACAGGTTTTCAAGGTTCCACCTCACCTGGAGCTGAAGGATGATGGCTCTCCTGAGCAGCATTTTAAGATTTTGATCTCTTTACCAAAGCAGTTCTGGAACATGACGTTTCAATTCTGTTCCTTTATTTGTTCATGGTTAGATGATGTCATCCTTTCTGCATAATGAAGTATGTCCTTTATTGTAAAGTGCCTCTTTTTTGTATTTGTCAGCTGCTAGAGCTGCATGATTTCAGAAAAACTTGATATTTAACGAGATCAGCATCTAAACCAGGTGAGAGCATCAAGACGATTGAGACGGAACATGATTCATACTACTTGAAATTTAATGTTTTGTTTTTTGCAATATTGCTTTTGCTCTCACTGATGTAAAGACACATTTTCAACATATGCAGCCATAATCTAATTTTGCTTATTTTTAATATCTCTGTGCCAGAGTGTTATTTTGTCAAATGCTTCTTTGCATCTTTTTGTTGGTAAGCTAATGTGTGGTTGTTTATTTTGCAAGCGGCACGGTGGCTCAGTTCGTAGAGCTGTTGCCTCTCAGCAAGATGGTCACTGGATCAAATCCTGGGGGCCTTTCTGGGTGGAGTTTGCATGTTCTCTCAGTGCATGCGTGAGTTTTCTCCAGGTACTCCGGTTTCCTCCCACAGACCAACAACATGCATGTTCGACTGATAGATTGGAGTCCATTTTTACCACTGTGTGGCATCCCCCCTTCTTCCAACACTCAACAGACGTCTGGGGACAGAGGAGACCAGTTTCTCAAGTTTAGAAATAGGAATGCTCTCCCATTCATGTCTAATACAGGCCTCTAACTGTTCAATCGTCTTGGGCCTTCTTTGTCGCACCTTCCTCTTTATGATGCGCCAAATGTTCTCTATAGGTGAAAGATCTGGACTGCAGGCTGTCCATTTCAGTACCCGGATCCTTCTCCTACGTAGCCATGATGCTGTGATTGCTGCAGAATGTGGTCTGGCATTATCGTGTTGAAAAATGCAGGGTCTTCCCTGAAAGAGATGACGTCTAGATGGGAGCATATGTTGTTCTAGAACCTGAACATAGTTCTCTGCATTAATGGTGCCTTTCCAGACATGCAAGCTGCCCATGCCACAAGCGCTCATGCAACCCCATACCATCAGTGATGCAGGCTTCTGAACGGAGCGTTGATAACAACTTGGGATATCCTTGTCCTCTCTGGTCCGGATGACATGGCGTCCCAGTGTTCCATAAAGAACTTCAAATCGTGACTCATCTGACCACAGAACAGTCTTCCATTTTGCCACACTCCATTTTAAATGACCCCTGGCCCAGTGCAAACGTCTGAGCTTGTGGAGCTTGCTTAGAAATGGCTTCCTCTTTGCACTGTAGAGTTTCAGTTAGCAACGGCGGATGTGGAGGTGAATTGTGTTCACTGACAATGCTTTCTGGAAGTATTCCTGAGCCCATTCTGTTATTTCTTTGACAGTGGCATTCCTGTTTGAGGTGCAGTGACGTTTAAGGGCCCGGAGATCACGAGCATCCAGTAGAGTTTTACAGCCTTGACCCTTACGCACAGCGATTGTTCCAGATTCTCTGAATCGTTTGATGATGTTATGCACGGTTGATGATGATAACTTAAAAGTCTTTGCTATTTTATGCTGGGTAACACCATTCTGGTATTGTTGCACTATCTTTCTGCGCAACAATGGTGGAATTGGTGATCCTCTTACCATCTTGGCTTCTGAAAGACACTGACACTCTGAGAAGCTCTTTTTATACCCAATCATGTTGTCAATTGGCCTAATTAGTGTTAATTGGTCTTCCAGCGGTTTGTCATATGCTCAGTTTCCTTTATCCAGCCACTTATTGCTACATGTCCCAACTTTTTTGGGATTTGTTGACACTGTGAAATTTTGAATCAACATATTTTTCCTTTAAAATGTTACATTTACTCAGATTAAACTTTTGATCTGTCATCTGTTATATTACGAATAAAATATTGCCATTTGCCATCTCCACCTCATTGCATTCAGTTTTTATTCACAATTTGTTTAGTGTCTCAACTTTTTTGGAATCCGGTTTGTATATATTTCTCTTCTTTACATTTTGTTGCCACTTTTTCCTCACAGTTTGATCCTTACGTGTTATTATGTAGCTGTTTCAGAAGTTTGCATCAGTCTTGCATCAGCATAAGTTAATACCTTACATTTTATGGTTGGACTGTGTTTCTCTTTTTAAGATTAATGTTGTCAGTCACTGCACGGCAACTCTTGCTCCCTTTCTTCTTTTCCTAAATTTCTCCATCAAATTAAACGAGTCAGAGAAGAATGAGGTCTGTTTGCTTGGTGACTCCACTTCAAATGAGTCCATATGCACGTACGTGCGTGTGGCGCTGTGTGCCTTCATGCAGAGGAACCTCCAGTCCAGAGCTGTAGTAGCAGCTGTTGTTAGTGGGACAGCGGCCAGGTAACCAAGGTGCATGCTGGGACAGCAGAAAGCAGAGCCAAGCGTTTGATTCATGTGAATCTGTGCAGGTCTGCGTGTTGCATCGCCGTCGTCCGGCTGGCACACAGTCTGTCCTGCAGGGTGAGGGAAGTGGCTGGGTGTGTGTGTGCAGCAGTGTGGAGTCAGACAGGAGGACACACACTCGGAACCATTAATACACAGGATGAAGGCCGCAGGCGGGAACTGGTCCAGCAGGGCCCACCTCACATCCTCATACCAATAAACATTTCATTTGTCCATCAAAGAGTAAAACATCAATTCCATAAAAGTGTGGACTTTGTTTAAAATGTGAAGATAAAAAAGAACGAGGTGTTTGCTAATCTCAAAATAACACATTTTCTACACAACGGAACAGAGTAAACATCAAATGTTCAAACAAAAAAAAGGTATATTTAAAAAAAAGTTGTTTTGAATTTCATGGCAGAAATGTTTGTTTCCCACGGTGGATCATCACTTTTATAACAACCGTCTGTTAAATTCCAGAACCCGAGTGGACCAGCTGTTGAATTTTTTTTAGATCTGAAAGGGCTGTTGTTCCATTCTGGTCTGATGGAGGCTTCTGGCTGTCCGTCAGTCCTGGATGAGAACACATATTGTTCCAAAACCTGCAGATACTTTTCTGGATTGATGCTGCCATTCCAGATGTGTCAACTGCCCATGTCAGAGGCAGCGATACACCCCCATACCATAAGAGAGGCAGGCTTTTGAACTGTGCTGACAGGCTGGATGGTCCCTCGCCTCTTTAGAATGGTGGCTGTAAAGAGAACTTCAGATTTGGGTCAGTCTGACCCCAGAACAGTTATGGACTCATTTTTGATTCCAAGCAGAGAGCAGTCGTTCTGGATGGTGTTCACATCTGGCTTCTTTTTCTATAATAAAGCTTTAAGCAACATTAGTACCGTATTTTCCACCATATAAGTCCCTCCAGTGTATAAGTCTCATCAGTGCAAAAATGTCTCATAAAGTGGGAAAAAAAAACATAAATAAGTTGCTTCTCCGTATAAGTTGCATTTATTGTGCGTCACCGTTGACCCCTGGGACGTTGTGCCAAAAATCGATTGGCTGCCAAATGGCGGCCGCGGAAAAGTGCATGAGAGGACTCGCTGTTGCAGTTCTTCGAAATTTAACAAGATTAACACTTAAAAACAATTATTTGTTTGCTTGACATTATAGCAAAGGTGTGTCTCAGCTTAACTTTTCCTTAATAAATGCACTTTAATGGTCAAAACAGCTTCATTTCGCCTGGGCGGCGCGGTGAAATGAAGCTGCCCTGACGTTGTCCCTTCCCCGCCTGCACCTTGCTGCTTCTCGGGGCTGCAGATCACGTGCCTCGCTGCTCCCTGCCTCCGCTGCCGGAGCGGGGAGGAAGGGGGCAGCGAGGCACGTGATCTGCAATGGATGGATTGATGGATGAATGGATTGATGGATGGATTGGTGGATTGATGGATGAATGGATTGGTGGTGCATCAATGCGGAATGTTTGTGTTTGTGTGGGGGATAGCAGTAGTTGGCATATAAGTCGCAGGACTGACAAATTTATGCAAAACCTGTGACTTATACACCGGAAAATACGGTAGATGAACTGTGTTTACAGGCAATGATGTGTGGTAGTGTTCCTAAGTCCAGAACCACACCTGGTTTTGGCCCCTGAGGGCGCGAAGATCACCACCATCCAATAATGACAATGAGAGATTTCTACAGATTCTTGAAAACTCTGAGGAGATGATGAACTGTAGACGATGGGATTTTGAAAGCTGCTTTCCTTTGAGGAATATTTTGAAATTGCTCCACTGTTTTTAGACATTTGGGGATGTTGCATTGGTCTTTGGAGATAAAATAACGAAGACAAATTAGTCACAATTCTGTTGAGTTTGCTTCTCTGATAGTGTGATTTTATATTCATCCTTAAAGCTGCATTTATTGGCATGTATTGAAATTTACATCATCTAAGAAAGTGTTTTTGAGGATGGTTCTAATTATTTTTAACGCCAAGAAATCAAGCTATAAGTTAGCAAAAGTATTTTTTCCTTCTTCCCCTCTGGTAGTACATCTTAATTATGAGGTTTGGATATTTATTTAAGTAAAAAAAAAAGTCAG